GGAGGTGGGCAAGCGTCGGCGGGTGGGTCTGCCGAGGTTGGGGGTGGGAGGAGGCTCAGGAGGAGGCCTCGGGGAGCCTTTGAAGCTGGGTCTGGTTGCGCACTCTCCAGTCTTCAAAGCCAAGAGCTAGCAGGTCTCAAGGGCTGTGGCAGAGCCCAGGCCCCAGGCTTCCCGAAGGCAGAGAGGGACCACGTGGGGCCAGCCCAGCACCTCCGCCGCCTCCAGACCAGGCCCCTAACCCAGTTTGCAGCTGGGCCAGGGGGCCTGTCTCTGCCAGGTGACCGTAACCTGGGGTTGTATGTGTTCTGGATAGTCGTGGAAAGGGCCTGTGAGAGGAGACGGGATGCCCAGCAAGGAGGAGGGCAGACAGCAGGCTCCGCAGGCTGGGACAGCATCCATGAGTGCTCTAAGACCAAGTGGGGGCAGCAGTGGGTCCCCCACTTCTCTGTAGCCCTGCAGCCCCTGCCCCCTCCCACCCTGCTGAGCTGTCACAGCCTCTGCCTCAGAGGAACGAAACCACCACCGGTTCATGTCTACATGCCCTTAGGTTCCTAGGCCTTTACCTCTTGCCAGGGCCCAAAGCCAGTACAGTGGCAGGAAGTAAGGCTCACCCACTGCACGATCTCCTCCTGGGCTTAGGACCTCTTCCTGAGGGATCTTTCGTCAAGGATCCCGGGAAGTTGCATTCTTCAGCAGTGCTTCCCAAACTGTGCTCCTCAAAGCACTCCGTCAATGATTAATAGTCACCCTATGAATCATTGAGGTTTCATGGGTTCCATGACCAACTAAGTTTGGGAAACACTGCACACTGTATCTCCCTCTTGGAGATACTGGTATTCATTGACACATTAAAGGCTCTGAGAAGTCCTGCAGTAAAGGAACCCGTGTTTCCCAAACTTTTAAAATTAAAGATCCTCTTTTCCAGTATCGCAACAGACAACATGAGGGACCCTGAAGCTCCTTGGAACCGAGGGTGGGAGACCAGCCTTGCAGTGATGACCCTGGTGGCTCTTTCTCTCCAGGACCTAGGATTGGATGGCCCTCGATTTTGGAGATCTGGAGGCCTTCCAACTGTTCCATCTCTGTTATGCTGGAGGAGGGGGATCAAAGGATGTCTCTGGCAGGGAAAGGGTCTTCTGCTGAGGGATCCTCCCCAGGGAGGGGCCTCCCAGTGCTGAGGTCCTGTCCTGCCTCTCCCACCCTAGCCTCCACTGCCCTACTCACAAACTGGCTCAGGACTTTGGCTTTGAACCCCGTGTAGGCAGTCCTTGTGAGACATTTCCAGGGTGCACTCTGGACAGGCATGTGCTGTCCACACCCACCTTGGGCCGGGACCACCATCTCCTCTGGGCCTGTGGTGGCAGCTCAGCTTCTCTCCTTTGTTCCCAAGTCTAAGGCTGAGAACCAAGGTCAAGGTCAAGGTGAAGCTCCAGCGGTTGGGGGGGGGGAGAAGCAGGCCCCCCCAAGAACAAGTTTGCTCCATCCCCGGGGGTGTGCCTCCCCCGCAGTGCCCTCCCCCGCTCCCAGCAGGGCCCTTGCCTTGGACTTGAGCAATGGCACAGCCCCGACACAAGCCGGGCCCATGCCCCACAGCCCTCCCTGGGGCCCCTTCCCCTAGGTGCACTTCTGAGGTCTCAGGCATGGCTCCCTTCCGGAATGTTCCTCTGGCCTGTTTCTTCTGCCTTTCCTCTCCCTGTGCTCCCAGGCCTGCTCCTCGGGGCCCCAGGAGCCTGACAGACAAGCTGATGGAGCCCCTTGTCCTTGGCTCCTGGGATCTCCAGGCTGTGCCTTCTGACGGCTGAGGTTTCTGCAGCCTGCCCCCAACAGAAGTCCCCACATTCTCTGTGCTTCCAGCATATCTGCTTCATTGGTATGACTTGTCTCAGAGCAGGAGGGGGTGGGAAGACTGGGGCCGAGGGTCCCTTCCAGACTCCACCTTGGAAAGGGACAGGGGCACAGGGAGAGGCTGCCGTGGCTGGCAGGTCAGGTACGTGTCAAGGGCCCGAGGTCGAGCGTGCCCATCAGCCCCCACAGAGAAGGGCAGGCTCCCCGCCACCACGGGCCCCAAAACATTGGACCTGAAGGGCTCCTGGTGACTTTGGTCACACCCTCAGCAAGGTCAGGGGCCTGGAGGTGCTTCTCGTTCCTGGGGGTGGAGGGGGCGACCCAACCACCACGTCTGCAGTGAGTGCAAAGTGCAGCTCCACCGAGACCCCACCAATGTCACCGAAAGGCCGTGTCCTAGGAGGGGAAAGAGCAGAGGAGGCTGGGGGACCTCAGGCCAACGGGAGGAGGAGAAAGACGGGGCCGGGCGCCCGGCCTGCCCCAGGAGTGGCTCAGTGGAGGTGGATGGAAGAGGGGAGAACCTCAGGTCTCCCCTGGGAGAGCTGACAGCCCAGCGGTTACAGCCAGCCTTCTGGGTTTGGCAGGCAGGGAGGCCGAGGCCAGGTGGGGGGCAGGGAGGGGGGCCACCCAGCCAGTTGGCGGCAGGGTCTGATCTACCTTTCCGCTCTTTCCAGCCAGAAACCGGTACCCTCTCCTTCTCCCGCTGCCCTCGCCATCCCGCCC